CATACACTCCACACATTTTCTCAATATTTTCTACAATTTAAGCATGTTCATCGTTGAAGTTGAATTTCTGCGCGCTATAACTTTTACTCAACTCTTTTCTGTTCAAATTTGCACTGCCGCAATCTTTGTCAGTCACAAAGGAGAGCCTGATTTGACCCTTTTGATAAAGTATTTCAATTTAATTGATCAATTGGATGTCACTTTTCGTTTCAACGTGGTCGTATCAATATCGTTCTTTTGTGCAACCATTCTCGTCCAGAGTTTCTACATAGTTTACTGGGGATTCTTTATGCGTGAAGCATTAGAGAATTTCGATTTCCCGGGACAATATATGTACTGGTTAGGATCCGTACTTTACATTACGTCAACAATTTTCCTGCTTATTCTATCAGCTATCATCGGGGAAAAAATCAAGAGACAGGTAAAACTAACAATTGAATTATATCCAATCATAAGTGAATTTTACTTCAATATTACAACCGAAAAATTAAAGCCATACTTACCGTAATTAAGTAGCAATTATGGGTATAAACTGTAATGAGTGTATAATTTTCGATATGCCTTTTCCAATTATTCAGTCATTCACGATGTCCACGGTGAAATCCATGGATTTTCTCCAAAAACTTCATAATTTTCTATTTTCGTCGGAAGCAGTGGCTAAATATTTCTTGTGCAGATGTCTTAAAAATTACTACGCTCTGGGAATCTTTTTAACATTTCTCCTGTATAACATATTTGCTAAGCAAGAGTACTATTATGACTTGGTTGTCACTACAAGAAGTTCTGGAGTGACTCAAATATTGATTTTTGCCGAAGCAAAGCTTCCTTACTATGTGTGCCTCTTTCTATCCATTTCAGCTGTTATTCTTAAACAGCGCGATCAAAACTTAATAATCAATTTGAAATCATTGGAAGGTGTTCTAGAGTGTTCTTCAACAAGAAATTTTCGAGATAAAATTAAGTGGTTTGCGCTTTTTAACATATCATTTATCGTGGGTATAAAAGTTTTTGTGATCTTGCCAATGCAAGAATTCTTCTACGAATTAATCGTAGATAGAAGCTTTGCAGGATTATTTATGAATATTTCATATAATATAACTCAATTCGTGATTGAAGTGGAATTCTTACGTGCCATCACATTTATAGACCTCTTCTGCACTCAACTTGAGACCGCAACAATACTTTTTGGCTCGAAGTTTGCCTCAAACTCGGCCTCAAATTTAAATGTTCTCATTCAATATCTCAATCTGATGAATCTGCTAGAAGATGCATTTAAAATTACCATGATTGTCACATCGACATTCTTCGTGTGTTGCATGATAGTTCAATGTTTTTACATCTCTTACGGAGTAATCGCATTGGAAGTTGAATTGATGAAAATTATGACCATCGGTCGTATGTTGGCTTACGGTTTAGGATCAATTGCCGTCATTATCTCAAATGTAGTTCTTGTAATTCGGTCTGCTTTCATTGGAGGAAAAGCAAGGGAACAGGTAAAAATGTTCATCAATTTTAATAATTAAACTTGTTTGCTTAAGGCGACAATTACAATGTTAATTATTTATAAGACAACATTAGTTCAACGTTTGTCTGGTTTCTTCGCGTCCAGTTTGTCGCGATGTCCTCTCTAAAATCCATGAAACCACTTCTCAGGATTCACAACTGTCTCTTCCCGCCAATGTCACGTGAAAACCACTTCATCTGTCGCATTCTAAAGCAAAGTATATCGACAGGAGTCCTTCTAACTTTTCTTATGTACAATATTTTAGTGAATTATGTGTGGTTCAACGATGTGGTTGGTTTGGAAGAGCCGTCAATGGTGAGGAAGGCGTTGTTCTTCCTCGAGGGAAAGCTGCCACATTTTGTGTGTTTAGTAATAGTAATCTTAAACATTTTTCAACGACAGCAAGATCAGCAAGTTGTGAACAGTTTCCAGAGACTAGAAACTCTCCTTAAGTTTTCTCAACGTAATCAGTACAGAGATGATATTAGGAAACGTACACGCTTGATCTTAGCTTTCTCGATATCTATTAAAGTCTTTGTAATCCTCCCAATGCAAGAGTTCTTCTATGAATTGCATACAGTTAAAAACTTCGCGACTTTTTTCTCGAATTTGTCTTATAATATAATGATGTTTATAATTGAAGTGGAATTTCTTCGCGTCATCACGTTCACCGATCTCCTTGCTTTTCACCAGGAAACCGCGACTAAATTCCTCAGTGTGAACCTCTTAATTGACTACTTGAAACTGTTAAGTTTATTGCAACAAAGCTTTCGAGCCACTATTATAGTGTCGCTGTCATTCTTTTGCTGCTGTCTTTTAGTGCAGTGCTTCTATATCTCATTCTGGGCTCTGATAATAGAAAACGCATTCTATAGAATGAGCAGCTGGTACACATTCACTTACTATATGGGATCAATTGCCTGGGTCAGCTCAATTGCTGTCCTTCTCGTTCATTCAGCGTTCATTGGAGAGAAAGTGAAAAAGCAGGTAATAAAGAGGAGTGACAATGGGTTTGACTTTGAGTGATGACATGTAATGCTTGATGGTTTTCTGATAAATTAATTTAGTGAAAATTAATTCAGTCTACTGACCACATTCGATTCGAGATGTCATGGGAAAATCTGAAAATTCATTTCACAATACAAACATTCATAACAATTCCACATTATAAATTACCAAAAAGTGGCACAGTTAAAAGATGTTTCTTGTTTACAATTCGTCTCATTCCAATAAGTGTTATTTGCATAATTAATCTATTCCCAATAATGGACACGTCGATTAATGTGTTGGATACTCTGGAAATTTCCACTCAAAAGTATTTGGAATCCTTCACATTGGCAATTATATTTCTAAATGCCGTAATTGCTCGTTTTGGAATGTTTCCTTTGATCCTGTTCACCATCTTGAATAGTCAGACACACATTCAAGTTATTGAAAGCTTGATTGGATTTAGGAGACACTACGAAACCACTCGATTCCCTGCAAAACCGAGCAGATATAATTTGGAATTGCTTTTCGTTGCCCTACATCAATATGTTTTCATGAGCTTAACTTTTCCCACTTTTGTTAATCTCCAAATTTACCTTTTGAGTATTATTTACATCACACAAACTATTCTAATAGATATTACTGTAATCTACATAATTCATCTAATTCAACACATCTCCGCTCATCTTCGCAAATTCCCCCAAGACATTAGCTCTGTCTGGGAATTTGATCAATTCTCGAGAATGTCTCAGGAAACGCAGACTTTTCTCCGGATATTCAATTCATGCTTCAAAATTGTTATAGCTCTCATGATCTTGCGCTATTTTTTGGACGGATGTCATGGTGTGTTCATTACATGCTCACTGTTTCCCATTCTCAAAATCACTGCATCAAATATTCTCCAAGGAGTGGCGAATATATTTTGGATAGTAAAGAACTTTACATTCATTGCCTACATTTCGAATTCTTCATTTACTCTCCATAAAATGGTAAAACAATTTATGTTATTAGTGAACAAAATACCGTGGATTTGCAACAAATTCATATCCGTGTTTCTTACATCTGATTCCCCTCATCCTTTACAGATTGCTCGGACTTCAAGAACCGTGAGCAGAGTCGAGATAACCGATGAGATTGTCCAGAAAGTGGGAAACTCTTTCACGAGTCGCCACCTGAGCGAGGAGGACAAGTGGAAGCAAAGTCTGTACTTCAACACCCAGAGATTCCTTCTCGGTTGCTTTCATCAGCCAACAAAAGTTTCCGCTGGGGGTTTCTTTGACCTGGATAATTCGGTGATTTACACGGTGAGTAACACTTTTTCCCTCCGCAAAAACACGCAATTAACCCACACTCCCGTCCGTGGGCGCAGGTTTTCTCATCCGTCATCAGCTACATTGTCATTCTCGTGCAATTCAAGCAGCTGGAGGAGGAGGTGAGACGCCAGGAATTGATTTAGTCAATCTCAATTACGACCACTGCATCATTAATCACCGCTATTTGGGCGAAATGAGCGCTCTGTTATTGATGATTATCGCCGTGGCGGAAAAACAAGACGCCGAAGGAGCTCCAAATGAAAAACCCATAAAGAAGGAAATGATCTCATGCGGAGCACACGAGTTTCCATTCAATTTGTCCATGCAATAAAGTGCAGACTTTAAAGCCATGTGCGACAGCTTTGCCAAGCGGGATTCCAATTTTCCCACATTTGTGGCCTCCACCCGAATCGATATCGTCAATCGTTTCACATCCCCCTTGTCCACTAATGAGGCCAGACAAACAAGTGGACGAAGATTGGGTGGAAAAAGAACTGAAGTGCAGTTCGGGCTTTCAATTACGTTTGATTGATTTTTCTGCAAACACCTCAATTTCTTCGTGAGGGTCTCTCGTGATGGCTCAACTGAATTGACCACTTTGAGTGCTTCCGCCGCCGATTCATGCTCCCCCCGTCAACGCGGAGGGTTCTTTTTAATATCCAAAATCCACAGATAAACCCACCAAACTCATCCATCATCCGTCGACAAGACAGCAAATCTCGTCACTCCCCATTCAGGGTCACGCCAAATTCATCCAATTTATTGAATTTCCCGAGTTTTCAACTCTATTTCCACAAAGTTGCGCGTGTGACCGTTCAAGAAGCACGGATGAACAGTTGCAAACCACCCCGAAAGATATGCACGAACTCCTTCACAGCTGCTGGAGTTTTTGCTTTCCAGCTCTCGAGATTCAATGATTTATGTGACACTCCACAGTGGGTGACTTCTTGTGCGCCTCGAGGGATTTTCAGAATTTTTAATACACCCACTGCTAAATTTTCTCCTCCTCGTGCAGAGGATGAACGGAAAAGCTTCAATATTTGTGTGATATATTGCGATTCCGAAAAGTTCTCTCTTTTTGCCCACAAACTTTGTATTATGCTCTATATCCCTAAATATGATACACTCAATAAAGTGCGACGTGGTAGATAAGAAGAGTATTTATTCGGCTAAGAAATCGAAAGTTCAGAGTTCGATCATTCGTGTTTTATTGTCTTAAAAAGGAAGTTGCAAAAGTGTCCTTTTACAAAGTTATTCTCATTCTAAATGCTAAGTAATTCGATGCTTTTTATACTTGCAAAACAAAACTCCATGGCTCGAAAAAAATACAATAAATTACTGTACATACAATTTCAAACAAATCTCTTGCAATATAGAAATATGAAATTGATTGTTCAAATTGACTTATACCAAAAAGTAAAACGCTCTTAAGTAAAATAATTGCGCAACACTTTGTTCTTAAATATTGTTCGTTTCTTGTACATCCACATTATGCCTAGCAAAACTCATGTCTTTTGTTTATATGTATATATAGAAAAGGGAATGCAAATCAAGCTCAATTGTATGAAATAAAAAGGGGAGAAAGTGCAAAAATGAGGTATATTCTTAATACTATCTTAAATCATTCTTATCGTCGCAAAGAGAATGGATCATACGGTAAAAACGGCAGAAAACACATTGTAAGAAAATATTATAATAATTATAAGATGCAGGCAGCGAGAGAGAATACAAGACAAACACTTACGTATCATGGCAAATAAGTCTTAAAAAAAAAACAATTGCTCGGAGTCGAAGATTGGTGTGGAGATGCACATGAGATTCTCTTAGTAAACTAATCATTCTTCTACGTTAAACTGAGGAATTTTGAAGAGACATTCATTTTCTTCTCTCTTTCTCTCTCGCTGCGATCACTCAAATAGAAGGGAGGAAATCATCTTACTGACATTCTCATTCGTCTCCCGGTCGACAGCCTCCTCATCTTCGCGTGCAATCTCCTGAGCGGCCGCCTCAAAGTCCGCTGCGCTGAGATTCGCCCTCTGCCGCCCCTCAGACACACACAGATACTTGGACGATCGGTATTTCTCCACGATGGCCTTCTGCTTCATGCTGGCACAGATGTGATGTGCTTTGTTCAGGAGGCACACGAGATCGCGGATGCTCGTCACGTTGTAGCCCGTTGTCTCGGTCAGAGAGCGCGTCCAGAGGCTTTGTCCGTGGTGGAAGCGTGCCAGAGCCACGCCGGCCGCCGCCAATTGGGACGGTAGAAACGGCAGAAAGGTGTCCGCATCGATGAGGGCGAGCTCGCAGAAGAACATGGCGAGGAACTTCATCGGCTCCGAGATCTCCTCGATGGCCGTGTACATGCAAATGAAAGTGTACGCCGTGGGAGTGGACAGATCGAAGGACAGCACCTTCAGGATGAGCTGCTCCATGCGCAACACCTGCTTGTTCGTGTACGTCTCGTCAGTGATGTAGACAAAGTCTGACGCGTCCGGCGGATAGATCTCCTCATACTTGGCCGCAATGTACATGGCCGTCGTGCCGACCAATTGCAACTTGCCCCTCACCACGGACATGTAGCTGAGGAAGCGGTCCACGTACGAGACGGCCAGATAGAGTGTCTCCGTGTCGAGCTTGTACTCCTCGCACACCTCCACCATCCAGTCCACGAGAACCGTGCGCATCTGCGAGTTGATGTCCGGCTGCTTCTGCAGATAGTTGCTCTTCGGCCGCGATCTGTGCTCCGCCTCGAGCAAGTACTTGAGAATATCGTAGCGATACTCGTAGATCTGCAGGAAGCGGTCGCGATCCGTTATCATGCTGATCTTCTCCGGCTTCGTCACGGCTGCAAGCAAGAGAGAAATTTTAAGTGGACTGGAGATAATCCCCTCTCAAACTACCAGACAGTTCTTCCGAGAATTCCATCATCCCCAAAATTAAGACTTTCTCGGATTAACAAAGGGTCTATCAAACCCTTGCCTCTAAATTTACCCTCATTTTCCCATCTACCTGTCGCACAAATCAAAGAAAATATCCGAACGATTCGAAGCTTTTAGTATTCTACACATAACCATGTTTAAAACCTTAAGCATTACGATGAAAGCATTTTCTACTTACGCAGCGGAAGTTCCTGCAGAGGATTTCTGTGGATGGCAAAAAGACGAGGTTAAAATCAAGCATCTTCAGAGGCAAAAGTGGGGCTCGCTTACCTGCTGTTTGTGTTCACGGCGGCTTCCTCCATGGTTTTGTTGAGCTCCATGGAGACACTCTTGATGGAAACATCGGCATCTTCGCCATCCTCCTCATCCTGATATATGGCGATCTGATTCTGCACGGCCGGCACGACATTCTCACACTTGGACCGCAGTATATTCTTCAGATTCTCCCTGCCCTTGAAGACATTGTCCACCCGGATTAGCTGTTGAGGAATAAGAGCATATTGACCCAACCGCACCTGAGGAATTCCACCAAGCCACGATGCAATCTCACCTTTGTGTTCACGTTCTCCTTCTCTGCAAAGGCTCGCGACATTTTATCATCAGCCCGGGCCTCCTTGTTCACGTCCATCTCCCGCAAAGTATTCATGTTTTGTTCGGGCTGGGAAAGCGTCGCCATCTCTGCCTCCGTTCGCGCTTTCCCCCACTAACACTGACTATTTCTCCCTCTTGTTGTTCAATTCCTTGAACAATTACCTGCTGATAGGGTGTCGATGCTTACAGACTACATGCAGAGCACTCAAAATAATAATAAGGATAGGATGCAGGGAGGAAAAATGAGAAATAAAACGCGAAAAACAGAACGCCACAACGAGGAGCGATGCAAGTATGACAATGATGTGAAGTTGGTCTCGATAGCGTGACAGCCGTACAAAAGTGCTAGAATACCCCATGGGCCGTTCTAGCAGTTTGGCATTTTCGCCCGTTGGGCACTAAGCAATGCTAGTGGCACATCAATTTTACACCAAAAACCCAAATAATTCCAATACACAAATTTATTTCTCAACAAATTCCACTTTATTTTAGAACAAAAATAACAAAAAATGAGTATGTGTCACTATCACAAGCGGCACTGTGTTGTAAAATGCAATTTTATTGCTTAATAAATTTCCGATATAGGTATACTTATAATTTTGCTTTTAAAATTTCTCAAAGGAAAATCTCTCATTTATACTGACTCATGAACTCCTTGTGGAATTTATCAAACATGCCGAGCATCTTCTTGAGTTCCTCTTCTTGTGGCAAAATCGTCGTCCTGAAGTGATACGTTCCCTCCTTTTGGCCAAATCCACTGCCTGGAACTATACAAATGCCTGCAAAGCAAAACAACATTATTACACAATTCCATACGGAAGATCGTGCATTTTGCCTCACCTGTTCTCTCAAGCAACTGGAATGCATAGAAAACGTCGGGTTTCTGGCCCACCTTCTTGGCTGCCTCAATTGCCTTGGGCGGGAGTTTGAACTGCGGAAAGGCGTACATGGCTCCCATCACGGGATTGCAGGAGAATCCCTCGAAAGAATTGAAGGTATTCGTGACCATCTCCGCTCGACGCTTCAGCGACTGCAGCACACCATTCTTCTCCTTGATGAACAGCTCATAAGATGGCTCACCGGGTTGCGGAGGATTCACCACACAATCAATCGCCGCCTGGCCAATGGTGCTGGAGCACAATTGCGCCGAGATCGCCTTGAGAAGCATTGCCTTCACATCCGGAGCCATGTTGAGAATCTCCGCGTAACCGCCGCGGATGCCACACTCGCCCATGTACCCTTTGGACACGGACATGAAGCTGGCCATCTCCATCTTCGAGTAGGGCTCGCCCATTTGCGTGAGCACCTTCTTAAATGAGTGAAACTCGGAATCCTTATCGTATATGTTGTCCTGATACACCTCATCGGCAAAGATGAACAGTCTCTCTTTATAGGCGAACTTGATGATCTCCTCAATGTTTTTCCGCGTCAGCACTTGTCCGGTGGGATTTCCTGGGTTTATCACCACAAGCACACGAGGTTCACACACTCGACGTGCCTCCTTCACTGCCCTGTCCAGCTCAGAAATGTCCAGTCCCCACTTCTTCGACTCATCCAAATAGTAATCCACCTCTTGCAAGTCGAACTCGGCAATGGAGGCGGAATACAGCGGATACTGAGGAATGGGCACCATCACGCCGGACTTCTTTCCGTTCACCTCAGCATGAAACAGCGCCAAGATATTCTTGATCGCCCCTGAGGCACCAGTGGACAGGATGATGTTGTCCGGATCCGAGGGAATGCCACCATCGCGCTTCTCAATATACTGCGCCACGTGCTTCCGAATCACCTCAATTCCAGCTGAATCTGTGTAGGATCCAACTGAGCAGCCTCTTGTGCCGCTCAAAATTGTCCTGGCGCGCTCCTTGACGTCATCAGTTATGCTGGGATCCTCGAACAGGGCGTCGTTGAGTACTAAAGACAAAACCTACGAGAAAAGACGCGAGATTAGATTACATTGTTCGTAAAATTCTATCAGTAAAAGAGATTTCGGGAAAGATCAACAGTCAAGCTAAAACCTGAATAGATTTTTCGGTAAATTTCCAGTCTCTGAAAGAGCAGAAAGAAGATCATCGGTCAGCATGACGCTCCACAATCTATCCATTGTCACGAGATCAACTGGGGATCTCTTCGCTTGATCTCCCCCTCATAGAACATTGAGAGAAGAGTGACACTTGGCGGTCACAGTAATAATTACATACGATTGAAATAATAAAAATCTGATCATGCTTTAGTATTTTGCCTCCCAATAAACATTTTACACACATATTCACAGTCAATAGACACAAAACCTTGACTCTCACTCTTCGACACTCTTGATCGTAGGCTCTGAAGCAGAAAAAACCGCTCGTTTTTCTGCCTCGACAAAACAATTAGATTGAGAGCAAACAAATTGGTCTCTTGTAACACTTTTCGTCACCATTACTGATTGATGAAGCCAAACACCATCACTTTCTCGTGTTATTAGCGCTCTATATCAGATCAGAATGACGCATTTTCATCACTTGTGGAACTTCATCAAATAAAATTCACAAATGGCAAAGGCGCAACACACAGAATATGAGAGTAAAATGTATGTTTAGCTGTTTACTCAAGTGATTTGTGTGCATTTTGAGCGAAAAAAGTCACAGATTACCAGGAATATTTATGTGAGCTTTGTGCTAGAAGTTGTTTTGTGAAAAATTGGACAATAAAAAGAATGTTTGAAATTCTCTCGCTTCAGTGAGATTCTCACTCGGGCACCAAAAACATTATTTCCCGCTCAAATTGTTGCCAGCAAATAATCACAATTGATTGTTGAAATGTTAGAATATTATTAACACCTCTCTTTGTTCTGTTTGGCAATTTTTATCAAGATTTTCCCCGATAAAGCACAAAGTTTTCTCTGTCAGCCTTGAGAAAATGCATTTCTGCAGAAATGGAACTCACTCTTTGTCACTTTATGCCCAATTTCTATAAATACTATCCCAAAATGAGAGGATTTTTTGCTGATATATTACTCGTGAAGATTCATCACGACGGAATCGCATGCCAAAGATCGTACCATATTTTATCACGACATCACCAGGTGATATTTTGCATATTAATTCGCTTAAAAACTTTATAGCCACACAGACAATTCCACGGCTTCCACATTTCCAGCAGAAAATACAGGAAAATGTCCAACTTTGTGATATCTTGAAATAATCAATCCATTATTCTATTCATTATTAGTCGCCTTTCGACCTCTGCTCAAAATATGCATTACGTAGAATTCGCCGGATAATCTTATCACGTGTGAGCTTCAATGAGTGTCTGGATTTCATCACAATTACCATAAACAAATATATTTTTAGCTTCCATATTGCGGAAAACTATCTCCGCATCTAGTGAGATAACATTTACGCTACACGTATATGTTATTCAATCGATTTCAGTGGAAGTTGCCTTTAGACTAGCAAAATATTTGCTCAAATTTTAGACAAAATCCCCAGTAAATCTCCAGCAAGACAACAAACTGTGTCTCATGATCATCTCACTATCAATGTTTCCATGAAGAGCCAGAAAGACAAACATTGTTTACGACATGGAAACAAAAATGAGGAGAAATGCCCTCGAGTGTGACAGAATCAATTGAAAAGCGAGGTGTGTGACTATCTTATCAGAGAGACGTTCGCTGTTGAGCAATAAATGACCGATATGAGGTCGTTTTCCAGCAGGATTTCCCACCCAAACGATGTTTTGCGCGGGAAATCGCGGTCTCACCTGACGAAAGAACGTGATGGGCTTCTGTCCCATGGCGTGGCAGTCTCCGATGTTGGCCCTGATGACATCCTTAAAGGGTTTCTGCATGCCCTGCAAGACATGGATGGAGAATTGCATAAGACTTCTTGGAAATGATAATTGTACAGCGCATGCGAGACTTTCACTATCGGCCAAGTCAATGAATTTTTCATGTTTTGCTATGTGGGCCAGACAATGCTCATGAGAGAGAATTTATTGGCACGATGTGAGATACTTTTGGCTGGTGTGAAACAATAGAACATGTGCCGGGCGGAAAAGCGCTAAAATTCAATCTAAATGTGATACACACTGTTTGACCTTGTCGAGGAAATTCTTGAGGGCACAAAGGTGAGGATTATCGGCATTCTCGCAGTCGCGTGACTCACCTTCTCGAGCTCCTTCTCAATTTCCGTGGCCCGGATGACGAGGGGGCCCCTCACGGCGTACTCCATCACCTTGATGCAGGGATTGAGGTTCTCGATGGTGAGGAACTTCTCACTGGTCGCGGTGGCCATGGTGCGATTTATTGTCACTTGCACAGACGACGCGCTTCCCTTCACGTCCGGAGGCTGACTGAGCGCCACGCAGTACGGGCGGAGGCCGCCGCCGGGACGGCACACACTCAGTAGGCGGCTGACGGTCGACATGCTTGCCCCTTCTCTCAGCTCTCTCTCACCGTCTGTCTCGCTCCCTCGCTCTCAAGCTGCCTCGTGCTGTCCTCTTCTCTCCCACTCCTTCGCTCTCAGCAACACGCTGGAAAAGTCCCAGAGAGAGAACGAGTGTGAAGAGCAAGAACAACACTTCAATCCCATAACTTCCATTATCTCTTATCAGAGGACAAAGTGCCTCCTCTAAATAAGCATATCAATCAATTCGAGGAGCATTTTTACCGCTCTCTCGCGACGCGAAAAAAATAATCGCATCTCGTCACGCCAATTAAAATACGACGGACAAAATTCGCGAGATTATTTTTGGGGGGCAAAGCCTCATTTTAAGTGTCATGCGCTCTTTGCTCTCCCATCCATTTTTCCTCACAAGGAAAACTAGCACTTTTCTACGGAAAAAGGCCACTTGTTTCCACACAGTTTCCCAATTGGAAACACCTGGTCGTGTAGGTGCTACGCAACTTGACCGCGAGCCAAGAAAGTCGAGCATTCTGTGTCCCGGGAAAGACCTCTGATTATGTCATCAAGTTTTTCCACTGTAGACTCGAAGGAATTCAGCCTCCCGTTGCGTAATCAATGTAGGTCAAGAATTGACGCAATATGTGCAGTATTTGTAAATATTTTCCCCAACGGTTGCGTAGATAATTGCTTTTTTTCGCGGGAAATTCACAAATTTTCCAGTGAAAATACAGCAGAACATAACCTTACATTTGTGAATACTTTCTCTCAAAGCTTTTTCTGCACAGTCGCACCGCGTAATTTCACTTTTTTGCACACACTGGGAGAGATAAGCACTTAGGAGACAACAGTCACTGGTGAAAATGCGAAAAAGCACTGGCAACAGAAAGATTTTCCTCCCAAAAAGTTTGGGTCTATTTTTCCGGCATCCCCACCACGAATCACTGAGCCACTGGCACTGCCATGGCTTGCGTTGCCATGCCATCAGAAATTTGAAATAATTCTAGCACAGTAACGGCCTTGGAAGTGTGACTCGACAAATTCATTCAATGGATAATTAATTCTGACTGTTTCCACCTGAACAACACACGTTTTTGTATTTATTAATTTACTTTATTTATCGCAGTTGGACGGTTATTAATTGAATGATATCTGTGTGAATTGCGTGTATTTTTAAAGTGGATATTGCTCTTTTCTCCTATCTTTTGTTACCATCACTCTTTCTGTTCTCTATTTTTAACTCTCATCCTCCTCTTTAAATATTGTCGTGCTGCTCTAAAACAAGAAAAATAAACAGAAATTTACAGAATCATTTAAAGAAGATAAAACACTTTACAGAAAACTCCTAGTATTTCTGCTATCGATACCGCGGGAATGATAAAAATGTCTCTTCTCACGTTTAACACTCTACGAGATTTCTCATCTATAATATTCCTTATACTCAATATATTTTCATATTATTCTTCCTCCTCCTTAACATTTATTTACAGTGTCTCATATCCTTTTAATGTCTACTGGAACATTTTGCATTTATCAAATACTCTTCTTCAAATCAACAATTGTTTCCTTACATGGAATGTTTGTTCTGACCCTTCTTCTGCTCTTGAGTCTCTCGTCTTTTTTTTATCCTGGGAATGGCTCATTCCTCGTCAGGGACTAAAATTTCTCCTACATTATTATTTTTCACCAAAACCGTCAAGTATAAAAATATATAATAAATCGTCTATTGACACATCTTTCTATAGGTCTTTTGTCGCCTTTCTCCTCGCTCTCTTCCTCGTTCTTCCTCTTACTCCCTCTCTTTCGCCCCCTTTCTCTCTCCGTCTATACAATTATTTTATATTCTCTAATACTAGTTTACTTGTGAAATTCACACTTCAAAAAAACCCCTTTCTTCACTTTCACAATGATAATATCTTCATGTTATCTCTGTGTTGTTCAATTAGAAATTCAATCATTAATAGAATACAAATAGAAATCTTTCACATTTCAGCCTATACACAAATAAAATAAAATAGTAATACAGACAACAAAAAATAATTATTAAATTGAGGAAAAATACTTAATATGTGAAGATCTTTAAAAACACATCTCTAAAAAAAAAGATACAGGAATGTCTCACGAGTGAATTTTCATGGATACTGTATTGCAAGTGAGCAGAGGATTCCTGCGAGGATCCTCCGCACTTCTGAGCTTGGCTCCACACACACATTCACGCCTGAGTCCTCGCGGCGCTCTTTGTCGCCCGCGAAGACAATCGGGGGGAGTTGTCACATGTATCAGCAGTCGGACTTGTCCTCCTCCACCAGCTGCTGCGTGTCCTTCCCCGTGTCGGCCGAGGGATCCAGCTCACGCGGGCGCAGCTGGAGCTGCGGTGACGTCCGATGGGTGATGCTGCTGGGCGCCAGAATGGCCGAAACTGGCTCCGTGAAGTGACCAGACTCGGATTTGGGCTTGGGATTCCCAGGCACCTCGTAGATTCCTAAGAAGGCAGACACATTCCTTCAGTTAAGAACCCCCAAGAAACAGCCCACATTCAACTCACCTGAGCCATTCTCCATGTTGGGCTCTGTTGTGGTCCCTGACTGCACGGCATCGTACATGGGATTGCTAAAGTCCCTGGACTTACTGCTTACCGTTTCTAGATTGTACCCGTCCAGAGGCGCCACATTGGACGCAGGAACGGGTCCATTTGGCGGAAAGCCGGGCGCATTGAACTCCACATTTGTGCCATGGCGGAAGGAAACGCTTTGGGACGACGAGAGATTGCTCAACCGAGCCATCTTCCCGAAAGGCCTCTTCCTGATCACATACCACACCCCACCGGCCGCCAAGAGCACCAACAAGATCACCATGATGGGCACGACGATGGCTGCGGTGTTTCCGGCACCATGAGAATGCGAATGTCCCAGAAGCTTCTCACAGTGGGATCCTCCAAAGTCAGACAGACATGCACACTCAAGCTCTCCGTCGGCATTCTCTGTACAAAGGCCGCCATTCTGACATGGACAGATCCTAGGCGATGGACGAGGACGCTCAGCAGCTGGAAAGCACAAGAGGTTAACCATAAAACTCCTTGTATTTGTTTATGCAAAAGACAAGAAACTTACCAGCGTCGCAAATCACCTCGGCGGTGCTTCGATGGGAAATTGGAGCTGTGTTATCTGGACAGGCACAGTGATGACCTCCTGGAACCAGGAGACACAGATGGGAGCATGGACTCGAGTGGCATTTGTTCTCCAGAGAAGTATTGTAGCGTTGATCGTGATACACTAGAAATACAAAACCATGAAGGCTAAAGAACTGCTCAAAGCCTCAAAAATATTCACTCACCCTTGATTCCTGATGGATTAAGAAGATTCCTCTGAACGACCACTTGAACACCACGCCCGAATTTGTCCTGTCGAATGAGCTCTCCAGTCTCCTTAGTCACCCAATAGAGATTCGACTCGAATACGTCTAGAGACACCGGATGTCGAAGTGCTTCCCCGCGAATAATCACCTTCCTCAAACTGCCATCCTGCCTCATTGATTCAATTGTGTTCAGCTTCGTGTCCACCCAGTAGATTGTGTGATCCATGGCATAATCGATGGCAATTCCAGCTGGATGGCGGATCTCCTCAGTGATGAGCGGCCTTCTCTTTGATCCATCCATCCAAGAGACTTCGATCTTCGGCGCAGATCCTGCATCTGCCCAGAACATTCGGCCTCTCTCGGGATCCACAGCCACAGAAGTGGGAACTTCTAAGCCGGCATTGATCAGTGCTCTTCTATACCGTCCATCTGTCTTCGCCACCATCACCTTTCCTCGAGGTTTCGTGCTTGCTCGGTCAATTTCTGTCCAGTAGAGATTATCTGCCAGCCAATCCACGGCGATTGACGTGGGCTTCGATCCACCCTTCATATTCAGGTCCTGGGCAAAGCCAATCTTCACTTGACCATTCTGAGCGTTCACCATGTAACTCCTCTTGATAGTCTTATCATAGCTATCCGCCCAGAAGATCATCTGTGCTGTGGGATGATAGTCAACAGCTTCGATTCTCTTCTCCGCTGCAACCACATCAATTTGCTCCTTAGCCTGAAAGATAGAAAATGGTGTAAATCAGATATTCTTCCGCCAAAAATCTTAGAAATCCCACCTGAAGATCAAATCCCCGTATTTCAGGTCCATTCGAGTAGATCAGCATCACATCCTCCTTTTCGGCCTTGCACACTCCAGACATTCCATCCGACAGGCGGAATCCTGGCTGACAGGAGCAACTGTAGGTTCCATTGAGATTGTGACAAATGTGAGAACAAGTGTGGATACCAGTGGTGCATTCATCAACGTCATTGCAGTGCTTGCGATTGTCTGGCGTGATAATATAGCCCGGATAGCAGGCACAGATGTATCCACCGTCCGTTAGATTCAGACAGTGATGCTCGCAACCACCTCGTGTGAGATCAGAGCATGTATTCTGCCGATGGCATCCCAACTCATCACTTCCATCGCCACAATCATCCGCATAATCACACACTTGATGTCTCTCAATGCATTTGCGATTGGCACACTGATACTGTCTGTATAGATCGCATGGCTTCTGCCTAGTGGCACAAAGTGTCATATTGTTCTCATCGGATCCGTCGCCACAATTGTCCACTCCGTCGCAAATCTGATAGCGAGCCACACAGCGGTGATTGGCACACTGGAAGCGCCTGAGAGTGTCGCAATTGAAATTCGAGCAAACCGCTGGTGCCTCATCAGAATTGTCACCACAATCATCAGTGCCATCACACAGATCAGATGGCGACACGCAGAGGTTGTTGTCGCACTGATGCCTGGACTCCGGACAGTAGCGTCCACCAGGGAATCTCGGCGGACAGTCAGCCTCATCAGACATATCCCTACAATCGCGATCACCATCGCAGCGGAAGTAAGCGGCAATGCAGTGTCCAGAAGCGCACTGGAATGTACCATTCTTGCACTGGAAGCCCTCGCAATTGAGCTCATCACTGGAATCTCCGCAGTCATCCTCATGATCGCATCGCCAGCGGGTTGAAATACATTTTCCGTTGGTACAGCGGAACTCGGATTCTGAGCAATCGCGATACTTGCCCTTGCATTGCTGCTCCGTTTCGTCACTTCCATCGCCACAATCATCGGCAAAGTCGCACATCCACTGCCTGAAAGACAAGGAAGTTAGCAAATCCACAACATTTCCAGATAGAATATGTTCAACTCACTTTGGAATGCATCTGTTGTTGGCGCATTTGAAGTCCGTTTCCGCTTGACAAGGAGGACAATTCTCAGGAAGTTCATCACTATTATCGCGACAATCATCCTTGCCATCGCAGAAGAGCCACTTGGGAATGCAGCGATAATTGGACTGTCCTGGACATCTCTGCCATCCCGTGGTGCAATTCTTCTGGCGACACATATACGCTGGCTCATCAGAATCATCACCGCAATCGTTATCGAAGTCACACATCCAGAGTTTGGGAATACAGCGTCCGTTCTTACAGCTGAACTCGGTCTCAGGATCACAGGATCGTTTATCTGGCACAAGGAAATTCCATTTCAAAACAATATCGCTGACAAAACATTTAAATAAAATACTCACGACAAATGGCAGGATCTTCATCACTTCCATCCTTACAATCTGCATCACCATCACATTTCCAGCTCTCCAGAATGCATCTGCCACTAGATCTGCACTTGAAGTCTGATTCAGGACAAGGAAGATCACAATTCTGCTCATCGCTTCCATCACCACAATCATCAGTCCCGTCGCAAATCGTAGCTGAGGGAGTGCAGTTGGTATTGCGACACTGGAAGGTTCCAGCACGACAGTGCCTGGCCGGACACGACGCCGGTTCATCGCTGCCGTCCTTGCAATCCTTCTCACCGTCACACTTCCAGAACCATGGAATACACTTCTCATCAACACCGCCACAACGATGCTGTCCAGCCGTGCAATTCGCGATGCACGTCTTTGTATCTCTGGCCAAGTAGAATTGATTGGGACAGGCGCACTTGTAGCTCGGCGCTCCTTCCTCAATGTAGCCCTCAATGTTGAGATACGTGGACTCTGGCGGTGGTGAGAGAAGACAAAGGTGCGAGCATCCTCCATTGTTCTCACCGCAAGGATTTGGGAAGGGTATCTGTCTTAGCGGATGACTGATATGCAAATCATAGGGTCGATGGGTGGTGTTTCTGATTGTCTCCAGATTCTGACCGCTGAACTTATTAGCCCGTCGGATTGCTTTGAGATTCCAGTCGCTCCAATAGAGCCAGTCATCGAAGAGGGTGAGAGCAAAGACATGAGGCACTTGAGTTCCCGACAGGACAATATGCCTGTGACGTCCCTCGAGATCAGCAAATGCAATGTAATCCAGATGAGCATCCGCCCAGTAGATTCTATCCGTGAAGTAGTCAATGGTGAGGGCATTTGGCCATGCAATATCATTCTCCCATGTCAAAATCCTTGAGAAATTAGATCCATCCATGCCCATCTTGGCTATGTAAGCCTGAAGGTGCCAGGACGTGAAGTACAAATACCCAATTCCTGGGTGCACAACAATAGCTCGTGGATCGACAACTCCACTCTTCAGCGTCTTCCTCTTCGTGCCATCGAGTTCCGAGACATCGAGATTCTTAGAGTGTCTATCAATCCAATAGAGCTTCCTACCCACCCAGTCCACAGACAATCCCTCAAGTCCATGAGAGTCATGTCGAACCACAGGCTCCTTCTCCACCTTCTCAGAAATGTCCTCCTCTCCGTAGTGTGAACGATAGATTGTCTTGGCCGTGACATCACAGAAGTACATGTACTGATCCCGAGAGTCAAAGTCCAGCGCCACGACATTCATCAAATCCTGATGAATTAGATTGTATTGCCGTCCATCCACTGACATGTTTCTCACGTAGTACTTGTTGGTGAAGATCAGCCAGGGTTCAATGTGGTCCTTCCGTTTGCACGTGTGCTCATCAATTTGGCGTTCGTAATACCGGTCATCGCACTTGCAATAGTAGCCGCCAGGAGTGTTGGAACAGTGCTGAGAGCACACGCCTGGTGTCTCAATGCACTCGTCAATATCCGTGCAGGCCTTTCCGTCCGAAAGGAGTCTGAAAAGAACACCGAGCACAGCATTAGGATGAGTCATCTCACATCTGTGACCTCTTCTACTCTACATTCATGCATAAAGTGGAATAATTTACAGAAATACTCACTTGTAGCCTTGGTTGCAATCACAGTAATAGCCCGTGAGAGTGTCTACACATTTGTGACCACACTGGTGAATCTCAACTTTAGCACATTCATCAACATTGCAGTGCAGCGGCTCGTCCGAATCATCCGAGCAATCAGACACTTTGTTGCACACCAAATGGTAATCAATACACTGCCCATTGGTGCATGTGAATTGACCAGCGGGGCATGTTACGTTCTCCTTCTTGCATCCCACCTCGTCTGATTTGTCTCCACAATCGTCCTCCCCATCGCATCGATATTGATTTCTCACACACTTGAAATTCTGGCATGTGAACTCATTCGTCGAGCATGTCTTGTACTGTGAATTACAGAATTTGCCCTCATCCGTGCCATCTCCGCAATCATTGTCGTGGTCACAGAGCCATCCCTGAAAGGACAAACACCCTTGAGTCCCCACCACACACGAAAGCTCCTCACCAAATCACTCACCTTGTTTATACATCGACCATTCTCGCATGTGAACTGATCATCGCCGCATGGCTGAGGCTTTGGACAATTGTGAAGTGTTGTATTCTCATCAGCTCCATCCACACAATCCGGATCGCCATCGCAAATCCATTTCTTGGGTATACACTGAGACCTGCCCCAAGATTTATTCTCTTCACACGTGAACTCCGTCTCCTCATCACACTTGCGGTCATCTGCAAGCATTGAGAGAGATAAACATGTGTTAAATGTAGCATAACAGGTTCATTATAAATAGAGACAACCACACTCACTGCACTGATGTCGATTATCTTCGTCACTGTTGTCCAGGCAATCATTGTCTCCATCACAAATATAAATCCTGGGAATACAATTGCCATTGTCACATGTGAATAGATCCCCGAAGCATGTCCTTCCCTCTGACTTGCAGTACTCTGGCGGCTCATCAGCTCCGTCACCGCAATCGTCATCCCCATCGCAATACCAAGTGGCCGGGATGCAGCGATGATTAGGGCATCTGAAGCTGTTCTGAGGACACGTTCTCTGAGCACAGTGAAGAGCATCTTCGTCGCTATTGTCACCACAATCATTGTCCCCATCGCAAAGCCAATAAGGCTCCACGCAAATATTTGTCTTCTCACACTTGAGATGGTTTGGCGGGCAAGTAGTATTCTTCGGGCATCGCTCATGAGTTTCATCTGACGTGCCATTGTCCTTGCAATCATTAATCCCATTGCACACTTGGGACTGAGGAATACATCTGCCATTGAGGCAAGTAAACTCTCCATCCACACACGGTGGGTAAGTGCATCCCTCCTCATCACTATTGTCCTTGCAGTCATTCTCATGGTCACACTTCCACGTCTTGAAGATGCATCGACCATTATTGCAGCGGAATTCATTAGGAGAGCACGAATGGAAGGCACAATAGTTAGTATCTTCATCACTGTTATCTCCACAATCATCATCTCCATCGCAAGCCCACATCCTAGAGATGCACTTTCCGTTGCGACAGTAGAATTTGCTGGTGTCACAAGTGTGATTCTTTGGAGCGCACATTCGGCCTTCATTTACCAACTTCGAGTTGTCATCACATTTACATTCTGCCGTACCATTCGGTCCAGGATGGCAGCTCTGAGCGCATCCACCGTTGTTCTGGAGACACGGATTTGCCTGGCACTCTTGTCTGCTCTCACTATAAATGTGAATGTCTCGAGGAGAGTCTTCCAACCGCTTCACCATCTCATACATATTTGCACCAGTGTGCTTCTCTGCTCGATAGACGCCGCGCAGTTGAAGATCTGTCCAATAAATATAGTTACGATGGATTGTTATAGCGAAGGGATATATCGTGGCCGCCACTAGAACTTCACGCTCTCGTCCATCGAGTTGTGATCTCTCGATCTTTTCACGCACAGCATCTGTCCAGTATAGCATGCGATCCTCGTAATCAATCGCGAGTCCACTAGGTTGGGAGAGATCCTTATCAATGATGGCTTTCTTCAGTGATCCTGCCATTGTTGTCCTGAAGATCTTTCCAGACGTGCCGAATCGCCCCCAATCCGTGAAATAAAGAGTGCCATTGCAGGGATCGAGAACAATGGCTCTTGGGCGTTCCACTCTCGAGATCATCACTAGTGACGATCCGTCCGTGTTCATGGCATAGATTGAATTGTTCAAACTATCTGTCCAGTAGATTTTCTTCTGTGTCCAATCGTAGGCAATTCCTTCTGGGTTTATGCCTTTCATAAGGATCGTCTTGACATCTGTCGCTGTTGGGTTATCAGCAACTGTCGATGCGATCTTCGACCATGGTCGAATTTGAGTGAAGAACAGCTTATTATCCGCATAGTCAAAGTCCAAACCAACAACATTCGTCAAATTGCCCAGTGTTTTGAAAGGCACTCCTGTTGATCGAGGATCCAGATTGATTCCTCGAATTTCCGTTCGAGTGGAAAACACTACAAATTCCTTCACCAGATCGCATTTCCTGCCATCTGCACTCAATTTTCCAGTAGCACACTCGCATCGGAAATTGAGTCGACCTCCAGGATTGCTGCCGAAGTTCTCTTGCGGGAAACTGAAGCATAGTTGATCACAGCCACCATTTCCCAGTCTCAAGCAAGGATTGGTGTCATCTTGAGGTTGATTAGAGACGTCATAGATAACAATGTCGCGCAACTTCTGCAAATTGGTTCTGACTTTCTCAGGAAGAGATATGTTTCCAGGAAGTTTTGATGCCCTAAACACTGTCATTAGATTCCTATCCACCCAGTAAACATCGCTAAGATAGACAGCGATTCCCATGGGATTTGGCAAATTGCGTCGAATCACTTGACGATTTCCACCGCTATAAGACACCTTTTGAATCGTGTCAAGCTTGGAGTCAACCCAGTAGACATCATGGGTCAGCATGTCCACAGTCAAGTCACGAGGATTTGAGATTCCTGAGGTGACGACAGGTGTCCAGTTGCTTCCGTCAAGATAGGATTTTCCAATTCGTGGATATTGACCATAATCGATCCAGTACAGCAATCTCTTCACAGGATTCACAGCCAATTCCCTCGGAGCATCAGTTGTGGTCTTCACCAAAACCCTCCTGTTCGTCCCATCTAACCAGCAAACTTCCACGTAATTCTCATGAGGGAAGACATTGGTAAAGTACAGATTTCCTGCCACCCAATCGATTGTCAATCCTCGAATACCATTGCTTCCAATACCATCCTTGATCACATGCTGCAATTCCGTGCCATTCGGACGCACTCTGAAGATTCCATTCCAATGTCCGCGATTGTACTCTGCCCAGTAGATCCACGAGTCTCTGTACACCACATCGACGTGCAGGATGTGATGTCCACTTCCTGTAATCGGAACCATTGCTTCGGTGCTGTCAGTAAGACTGAATCCTCGAGTAATGTCCAGTTGTCCCACCACTGCAAACTGTTTGTACGGAGTGCATCCCACTTCATTGTCCTTTCTGTATCCCACTCCACAGGCACACACTCTGGAGCCACTGTCAGACGGCACACAAATATGCTCACATCCTCCGTTATTCGATTGGCAAGGATGCAGAAGCATTGAACGCTTCTTGAAGATTGTCATACTCCTCAGATCCGATTCATTCTCCAAAATCACTTTGGCATTGTCACCATTGGGCAAATCCACTCTTACAATCTTCTCAAAAACTGGATCCAGATAGTAAAGTCGCGAATCGAGCACAGCCAACGATTTGGGTCGGGAAATATCATCCTTTTCAGAGAGAACTGTTTGTCTATTCGATCCATCAGTTTTCATGGAAATAATTTGCGGCGGATGTTGCGTGCTGAAGTAGACAATCTTCCTGTCAATGTCCACAGTGATGGATTCCGGATTGTCAACATCATCATGTAGCACAATTGGATTTGATCCATCCATGTTAACCCGACCAATCTTTGCTGGCACACCAAATCCACCCTCATCCGTCCAGAAGAGTTTTCCATCTGTCGGATCCAAGGCGACACTCTTAGGCTTCGATACGGATGTCTTGTTTCCGTCATTCGCAAGAATTACACTTCTGTGGCGGATTTTGCCATCGACTCGCACTACTTCGAAATTGCTAGCCATTCTGTTGCCAATATAGAGATTTCTGCCCAGCCAGTCGAAAGCAATCACATAAGGAGCTCCAATGAGGCCTGAATCCATGCCCAAGAACTCCGTCTTGTTGCCTCCGCCGTAAGGTGTTGTGAATATTGTGCAATTTTCATCATCATCCTCGCGTCCTTGCACCCAGAATAGTGTCTCGCCCTTGCGATCAAAGTCAATTCCTGTGCCACTTTCAATTCCAACCACAGGAATGAGAGCTCCCGCCCTCACATCTCCTCCGTTGATCGGCACATCGACAATCTGTGTTCCCTTCAACACCATCAAGTAGGGATTCTCCTCCTCAATGCATCTTCCGTCCGTCTCAAGACGATATCCAGGTCTGCACTTGCAAGAATATCCCGTTGACGCTGAAGGACTCAAAAGGCACATGTGCTGGCAAGTAGCTCTTGAACAGGGATTGTCTGTGATGGGTTGCAACGATGGATGATGCACATGAATGGACAGTGGTTGAGAAATTAAATGACTCACAACAGTCTGATTGTTTCCCTTGAATTTGTGCGCTGACAACACTCGATTGAGTTGTCGATCAGTCCAGTAAAGCGTGTCCTCAAAGAGCGACAGAGAATGCGGATGTAGAAGATAGTGACTTCCCGCCAATACTTGCTGCCGGCCAGTTCCGTTGTAGTAGCAGAAATCAATGAAGTCCAACTTCGAGTCAGCAAAGTAAACTCGCTGTGTCGCAATATCCAGAGTCAATCCATTTGGCCAGTAGATCTTTGTATTGATGATCGTTTCTCTCATCGTTCCATCCATTCCCATTCGCTCAATTCGCGGATTTTCACCCCAATCTGTCCAGAAGAGCCATTTTGTCCCAGGACTTGGATCCAAGCACATTCCACGAGGTTGTGTGATGTTCTCTCGAGCCAGGACGAGTCTGTTCGTTCCATTCTCCGACGAAACCTCAATGGTATTGAGTTTGCTGTCCAACCAGTAGAGATTCTTGCCTATCCAGTCATAAGCTAGACCCTCTACAAGATCCAGGCCAGTTGATATGATCTCCCTGGGCTCCATGCCACGATCCAATCGTGAGATCTTCTTCAGCTTCATGTCGCTCCAGAATATCGTCCCAGTGTGCATATTTGACGCTGTGGCCACCACATTCTCAACAATTATGGGCACTCTCTCTAATCCTTGCTCCTTGAGATCCGCCACGAGAATTGAATGACGATTGGAAATTATGAGGAAGGCTGCAGTGTGATTTACAGCCTTGCAGGTATGCTTATTTGGCTCCAGAATGTATCCATCTGTGCAAGAACAGAAGTAACTGCCTTTGGTATTTGTGCACTTTTGAGAACACAATCCTGCCGGATCGCACTCATTCAGATCCTGACATGTGAAGCCATCTGGAGCGAGTTCCTCTCCAGGAGGACAGATACACATGGCTCCCAACGGAGTCTTTTGGCACCCATTGGAACAGAGACCACCCTGATGCTGACATTCTGCCAAATCACAACCCTCACCCTCATCAGCGCCATTCGGGCAATCGGGAATGCCATCACACACCGAAGAAATGTTAACGCAACGTCCAGTCACTTCGGGACAGAGCCACTGACCAGTTGGACAGCGGAAAGGAGGAGCGACACACGCGTGTTCAGCACTCTCGTCACTTCCATCGCCACAGTCATCCTTGCCATCGCAAATGTACGCCTTGAAAACACAGTGAGAATTGTTGCATTTGTAAAAGTTGTTCGGACAGGAAATTGCCCCACAATCCTCCTCATCTGAGTGATCATCGCAGTCCTTAGAACCGTCACAGTGCCACGCTGCTGGTATACAAATTCCACTCGATCGACACTGGAAGTGTTTCTCCATGTTACACTGATTTGGTCCCACAGAAGGACATCCCAGCTCATCACTTCCATCGTTGCAATCCGGAATAGCATCACACTTGTACGACTCCTCCACGCATTGCCGTAGATCTGCACACTTGAATTGATTGGCAAGACAAGTAATTGGTGGACAATCCTTTTCATCCTGCTTGTCGAAACAGTCGTCATCTCCATCACAGACCCACGATTGAGGAATACAGTGTCCAGTCCGAGGACATGTGAATTGGAAGTAAGCGCAGGTCTTCTCAGCACAAAAATCACCCTCATCGCTGCCATCGCCGCAATCATTCTCAGAATCACACTTCCAGATGCTTGGGATGCATCGGCCATTCTCACAGGCAAACTGAGATGCAGCGCAAGTCACATTTCCACAATCCGCCTCATCACTGTGATCCCCACAGTCATTCTCCTGATCACAGCGGAAATTGAGTGGAATACATCGGCCGGATTTACACTGAAATTCATTTGTACCACACGTGGGCTTCGTGCAATTCTGCTCCTCATCGCTGTTGTCCAGACAATCATCATCACCGTCACAGAGCCAGGATTTCGGGATGCAACGCTGGTTGTTGCACGTGAAGTCCCAGGAATTTGGACATGCCTGAACAGGAGGTTCAGCATTGGGATCAGCCACACATGTTCGGTCATCATCGTTGATTCTCTCGCCATAAGGACAAGCGCATTTCACCTATAAACAGAAAACAGAAAATCAGCACTTGTCATGAAAAATCTTCCAATAAGAAGCATACCTGAAGTCCTGTGGAGTCGTTTCTTGGAACAGCGAAGCAGAGTTTCTCGCATCCTCCATTGTTGATCGAACAGGGTTGATTGGAGTCAATTGACTGCACAAGGTGACTGTACACTTTAACGCCGTAGAGTCTATTCGTCTGAGGCTCTCTCACCATGATCTCCTCCTGCTCTCCAGTCAATTTGTGCATCCTCACAATAGCATCGAGCCTCCAGTCCGTAATATACATCCACTCTTCGTGAATCACAATGGAAAACGGATGTCGAATGAGTCTAGAATTGACTGTCTTAATGTCTGTTCCATCGAGATTAGCGTGCTGCACATGATCTAGAAGAGCATCACACCAGTACACTCGATCCTCCTTGAAGTCAATGGAAAGACCATTTGGCCAACCCAAGGTAACATTCTTGAACACCAGCAATCCAGATCCATCAGCATTTGCTCTCGTTATATTAGCTGGTCGATCCCACTCTGAGAAGAAAATAAAGCCCTTGTTCGGATGCACCACAATGGCTCTGGGTCTCTTCAGATTCTTCAACAGTGTCCTTCGATGTGTTACATTCCTGGTAGACAGAACATTCAAAGTTCCCTTGCGACTGTCAATGTAGTACAGATTCTTAGATGCCCAATCCACTCCCAGACCTTCCACACCCTCATTCTGAGATGCTAAAACAATTTCCCTTCCAGTTCCATTCCTGTGCACTCGATAGATAACATCCTGCAGCACATCAGAGTAGTAGATGTGTTCATCTCTTGCATCATAATCCAGGCCTACGAATCTGGCTCTTCTGGAGACAACAGGCAGAATGGCATCACTGAATCCTTCAATCACCGGATCCAGGACTTTTCCTTTGATGAATCTCTGTTGGGAATACATGAGGAATTGCTGCACGAGGTGACAATTTCTCAAATCACTCGCCAACTGCCAACCCGTGTGACATGCACATCGGAATCCCAGACCAGAAGGAGCTCCCTTAACTGCTGTCACAATGCACATTTGGGCACATCCACCATTGTTGTTACCACACGGACTCGAGACGCGGGGTTGGCAGAGGGCATGCACTGTCACGATGGCTTTTGGTTCCCGAATTTCCTTTGACTTGTAAATAGCTTGAATACTGGAACTCCCCTCAAATCGATCAACAGACATTATTCCCTGCTTCGTGGCATCTGTCCAGAAGACTCGGTTCTCAAAGAGCGCCAATCGCGATGGACTGGGAACTTGTTGACCTCGGAGAATCATTACTCGATAGCCGCCATCGTAGTCCACAGTTTCAATATAATCCAGGAGGGAGTCACACCAAAACACTCGCTTTGAGATGACATCCACTGCAACACCAGAAGCTTTGTAGGCTGCCTCAGAGACTATCGATCTCGCGTGAGTGCCATCCATGTGCGCCCGCAGAACTTGTCCACCATCAGCAACAAACATCAAACCAGATGTGGGATCCAGCGCCAAGTCTGCTGGACTGGTTAAGTTTGACCCCAGCACCACAGCATGCCACCGTCCGTCGAGTTCAAACACGTCCACTTTCTGACCCACGAAATCCGCCACATACAGCTTATCTCCAATCCAGTCCACAGCCAGAGCCACAGGAGCCCAGGTGCCTGGCAGCGTCAGGTCTGACCCCCCAAAGCCTCCGTCATTCAGTGGCTGCGATTGCACTTTGCGCGTCTTGATGTCTGACCAGAAGAGCAAGTTCCGCGAATGATGAAACGCCACTCCACTCGCTCCAGTCGCGTTGGCCACGTTCTTCGCCTCCTGTCCATGCGAGGACATTCTCACAATGGCGCGATCATGAGCAAATATCAACTCGAGACTGGCGGCATTTGGCGCAATGCATCGACTTCTTTCCGTGAGAGTATATCCAGCGGCACAGGAGCACGAGTATGAGCCATCCGTGTTCACACAGAGCTGGTCACAGTGGCCCCACTCAGCGCACTCATCCAGATCCGTGCATGAACGATTGTCTGCAGCCAGAGCTCGACCCGGAGGACAATAGCAAGTGCCTCCCGTTAGCGATGGGCCACACTTGTGCTCACAGTTGAGAGCGGGACATGATGCAGTGGCTGGAAAAATAACATTGATCGAAGAAAACCATTAGTGAATGGTTTGAAATTCAGTGGAGAATGATTTTAAAATCAATATGAGAAGCAATTAGCTGACGTTCAGCAAATGAGCACCATGAATACCAATCAAATTATAACGAATTGAATCTACATACAATTATAATTATTTATACGCTGCAATTAATTCACATTGATTGAGAGGAGTAATCAATGGAAGCTGAGAGAAGGAATAACACAATCTCCACTTACAGCATGCCGTCTCTTCGTCCGCCCCATCCTCGCAGTTCCTCTTGCCGTCGCACAGCTGTGACTTGGGGATACACTTGGGCGTGCCACCTGGTCCACCCTGTGGGCAGAGGAATTTGTTGTCTGGACACGCAATCACTGTACAATTCGTCTCATCGCTCTTGTCGAAGCAATCATTGTAGCCGTCACAATGGAATTTGCTCGGGATGCAGACCTCATTTGTGCATCGAAACTGTCCACTATGGCATGGAGGGAAACCTGCAATGGACAGAGACATACATGGGTGAGCAGATCACAAGGCTAATCGGGGAATCTCGTCCGACTTACTGCATCCTTGCTCATCGGAATTATCTCCACAGTCATTTTTGTGATCACATTTCAGTTGAAGATCGAGACATCGCTGTCCATTGGCACATCGGAATTGGTCCAATCGACACGACACCCCCGGACACCCCTCTTCATCGCGCCCACTCCGACAGTCCAGATATCCGTCGCACTTCTTCTCCTTTGGCACACACAAATCCGTCACATGGCCTCCATTCATCGTCGCCTGTTGCCCCTCTGGCGCCGGCCCACAGTGAATGTCGTCCTGCAGACACTTCCGATATGCTTTTTTCCGTGTTTTGGCGGGACGCAATTGGGATTGAGAATGACAGGAAATTCAATTTAATTTAATACTCCACTTTTTGAATCGTGCTCTTTCTCTCACTCCCACTTTGTGGCCTTTCTTCTTCTGCCAACACCAATTTGCCCATGAGGTCAATGACAAAAGTTCAACGAGCCAAGTGTTGTTCCCTTTTTCTTACAAATCAGGGACGCAAGCACTTGTGTTTCAACATTTTATCGATACACATAAAAGACTTTAAAGTTTCTGCGAGAAAAGAGACTTTGAAACTCTTTGGAAAAAATAAGCATTAAAACAAACTTTTAGCAAAGCACAAAAAATATAATAGTCCAACAGTAATTGTCTCTCCACATAAAGAAGTTTAGAGAGAGGAACAACTTGTGAAAATTCACTTCATTCCTCGAGAGAGATAAACTTTCATCGGATTTTCATTAAATAATTTGTTCGACACAAAACTCGAGAACCAAAACAATAGTTTAACCGAATATACATGAAATTCCATTAAACACTGTGCAGAACTACTCTAGAAAATCACATTTAGATTCAGATTCAATTGGTAAATTGGCATGGAAAACTATGAGCAAATTCTTAATGGAGTTTCCTCTTTGTTTCCTTACAAAACAAACACTGTTCTTTCCACTGACATCAATTGGGTGTGAGAGAAAGATTGGGTAGAATTGAGAGACACTTACGACAATCTGACTCGTCAGATCCATCCACACAGTCAATGGTCATGTCGCATTTGTAATGTGGCGGGATGCAGTAGGTCTTATTGAAGACATACTGATTACAGCTAAATTGCTGTGGCTCACACTCAGGTGGAGCTGGAAGAGAGATAGAGAGAGAGACGGCAAAAAGTCAGGAAGGAAAACTATGTATGAGAGCAGAGTAACGTGTTAAACATAAATTTTCCAAAGCCAAAATCCCACCCATTCTCCCCCTCAGATAGTTTGTATTGAAGGAGGAAATATCACATGGAGTCACACTTTTTCCTCTTTTCTGTCCATTTGACACATTTTTCTTCCGATTTTTTTGAACAGCATTTTTTGCCAATTGAAAGAAAGCATGGTAGAGATAGAATGGAATAAAAAGAGACTTACGACACGATTGAAATTCATCCTCCCCCTTTTCACAGTCTTTTTGATAGTTACACACCCACAGCGATGGTATACATTTGCCCTCAGAACATCGAAACATTCCTGTTGGACATGGCACTTCTGGCACACCTAAAAGGACAGAAAGGAAAAAGATAAATATAATTCACTTAACATCTTTTGTCATTTATTATTTTATATCCATAAGAGCATACATGCGATAAGGAAGTACAAATAATGTCAAGTTTCTCTATTGATTTTTCCTCTTTTGACCACTTTCGTTTACTCTTCCACTTTTCCACCTTATGGATTAATTAAACTTCACCTTCAAGGGTGGAAAAGTCAGGTGGATTTAATTACATTCACTTGAAATAAGTACATTTCATTTATAAGAGTTTCATTATATATTTCACTCGCTATTCCATAAATATCACGAGTTGTCAGAAAGAACTGAAATATCAAAAACTCCGCTTCAAATTCAAATGTATTCTCAGAAGGACTATTGTAATTATTCAGAATATATGTATGTAAATACTATTCAATCTGCTTAAGGAAACACTGATACGCTATGACATTAAACTTCATCCATTTCCCATTTCGAGCTGTGAAAGAAGATTCTAATTAAATTGAAGGCAAAGAGATTCATTTGATTCCCGAAAGAAGAATTTGAAATCTAATCAACGTACAAGTCTAAATCTGGCTGTATTTCAATTAAAACCTTTTCCCAGCAAAATGGGGGGAAAAAAGTAAAAGTTCCCAAATTCCCATGATGAAGATTCACGTACAAATTCAATTAAATTACCATCAAAGCCAAAAGCACATTGATACGCCACGTGACTCCTCGAAATACTTCCAAATCCGCCAAACTCATGTGGCAAGTCATTAAATATCCACCAAAGTGTATCTCCCTTGCTTGAAATCACTTCTTCCCATTCGTGTGCACTCGTTAAAAGTACATCGAGAATAAACACATAATTAAAAAGTGCTTTTGTTCGTAAAAAAAAATAAATAATCCCAAATTGAACCAATTTAGCTCAAAATGTTCACGTCTTCAGCACAAGTGGCCAGACAAAATGTTTATTTCAGCAAGACATTCTGTTCCGGCATAAAGTGTTGCGTTCTGCAGAGAAAGATTATGAATGACTATGTGGAAAAACGACTGAGTTTTCTTCCTCAAACCGCAAAGTAAAATTAAATTCTGCACATTCTTCGGATTTTTTGTCATCATCATCATCATCCGTATTTACCAAACAAAATTTCACCCTGAGTTGGTTTTTTTTCCAATTTCACACATTCAACCTTTCTGCCTTGTATGCTGTCGTGTCGCCTGTGCATTTTAATATAACAGATAAAAAATTCTTCCTCTATCATGTTTTCGTCGTCCTTGCCTTGTTGTACTCTGAATTCCTTCTTGTCTCACGCATTTCTCTCTAATGTTTCACGCTATCGTCTTTGTCCAGGACCATGTGGGGGACAAGGAAGGTGAAATTGGTCGAGAAGAGTTGGAACAGAGTATTTTATGTAAATTGAAAATGGAAAACTTTTAATGAAGTTCCTTAATTTTTCACTTGAAATTTTTTTCCTATTGTTTTACTCACGCCACTCTGTGGTATTTGTGTTTTAAGAACCAACTTTTCTCCCCCTCTTCGGCAGATATATAGATAGAGAATTCAAGAGGATTTCCATCTGCTTTCCTCGTTACACGCTCTCCGCCCTCTTTGCACATTTTATTTCCAAATGTGGAAACAAATTTTAGCAAACTCCGGACGAGATGGTGAAGAGAATTTTTCTAAAGTATAGTTCAACACCCTGTTAAATTTTCCCCGTTCCACCACGAACAGTTCAAAAAGCTCCAACCACAGAGACAAGAGCTTTTTGGGGTTGATGCTGGCAAGGGAAAGTCCACTCAAAGATACAAATGCTGGTGTGATTTATTACAAATTGCGGTCAAAGGACATTAATTTATGCCACCATCTGTCGCAACAGAGACGAGATTCTCAGTCGAGTATCCACACCCACTCTCGTACATGATATTGAAGATGCTTTTAATCTTTCGATGGCGCACCTCCACCAGCCACTCTATGAATGTATTTTAATTGTGACCCACACAAATCCTCCCCCATATTCATTATAATTCACCTTCATCCTCTGCCTTTGATGTAAAACTTGGGGGCGGGGGGGTGAAAGTATCAAATTTTCGATAGCATTTCACCCTCATTAGCAAAATCGATTTTTACCTCTTGGAGGAATGCTCTTCCTATCTGCCTTCAACGCTCATATCCATCATATCAATAGTCTTTCAATTCGATTACGCACATCCCTTTACCGGGAAAGAATTTTAGCTTACACAAAATATCCCAAAGATTCCCATTCACTACTCTCGATACAAATCCTCCTGGGTAAGTTTGTGGATATAGACTCTTTTTGATTTCACTCCGTGTCCATCAACAGTCCACTCACACGGCTGAGGATATAAAAATTTTTCACCCGGAACGAAAATGGAGACGCTCATCCAGGTGGAATAAATTTGATGTCATACAGAAATTATATGAAATTTTCGTATTAAATTTTCCTCTATAATTCTCACTCACATTTTCCATCCATGTCATCCACCTTTTTCCTCGCAGCATAAAGGAGGCACAAAAGGATAGAAAGATGGCGTAAAAAGAGAACCAAGGAATTTTTCAATATCTTTAAGTACAGCATAACTCTTGAGAATTTCAATAAGAGCGTCTCACCTGAAAATTACACATACTTTCATTCATATTACATCGAAAGGGATGGAAAGGAAGAGTCTTCCATGAGAAAATAGACAAAGAAGGAAAAAAAACAGCCATTTCTCTGCGTTTCCACAGATGTTTGTAGAATCATTTTGTCTTCATGACACGCGTGTCACATTTGCAAATTAATTGAGAAAATTGGGGAAGAAAATTACATGCTCAATGCTAATTGTCATGGTTCAATATGATGTTTGTGAATCTCTCCGTGCCGTACCCCAAATTTTATTCTTCCCCGAGAAAGCGAAAGAAGCAGACGAGAGGTGAAAGAAAATGCTTTGTCAGAGTTGGTTTGATTGTTTACAATTCTGGAGTATCTTTTCAAAATCTACACTCTATTCGTGACACCATAAAGAGACTTGTGGACGGAAAATGGGTCATTCCACTCCGACAAATAAACATATAAATTATACCCAAATTATTGACTTCTCACGAAAATAGACAAATGTGATAATTCTGTGGATTAATCATTCATTATATCCATTACACCCCATAGAATTGACCAATTAATCCCACCATGGCAAAATTATTTAGCATTCTTAACGACATTGCACGTGAAAAACATGTGGAAAACAGTCACGATACGGCACAGAGGAATAGTGAGAAAATACCATAAAAGCCATATAAACAAACCAGTTGAGAGAAAGATGACGAAAAATTTTTATGAAAGTCAACAATTACCTCAGCGACCGAGAGTTGTAAATGAATTAAATTGAATAAAAAAATAAAACACTGTGAGAAAAGAGGCAATGAACTCTTGGAGCTGTCGATTGGAACATGATCACCACAAATACACCCATTGCGCCTCTTTGGGTCTCTCACCTCATTCTTTGACGCACAACACAGGCACAGCATGAGAGTGTGAAAGTCAAATGCAAGAGAAAAAGAGAGATTTATTTCACTCGTAGTTGAAGAAAAAAGTGTGTAAGCAAAAAGTACACACTATAAGTTGAATTGAGTCAAAGGTATAAGTCAGCACGGTTCATTCATGGGCAAAAACAGGCAAATAAGGAGGAATTTTTCCGGTACGGAGATCGCATAAGATCACATTATATCAATACGAGATCATAACTCTGCGATATGGACCTGCCGTCAGGAGGGGGTGCCATTCTGCCCATTGTGGACAGAAAATGGAATTTGCCCCACACGATCACACACCGTGAACCTCTCTTTCGAGTTTCCTCCTAGGCCGAACCGCCACCTCATTCATTCTTCATTCATTCTTCATTAGGCAGTGCCAAGACTTAACTGTTTCTCTGTGACGTGAGTGTGGCTCATTGCAAGAAAATTGTTGAGCATATATACAAACTACCTGGCCTCACACCAACGTTTCACACAAGATCACAAGACGGTCGTTAATGAAATGTCGAAAACTACGACAAATTGCAATAAGGTGTCATTATGAAAATTCTTCATTACATGAAATGCATGAAATAACTTCACAGAAATCACGTGTTCGTGTTCATCTCACCTTTCCCGTATCTCATGAAAATCCGTAGACATTTTATCATACAAATAAGCCATGAAGGAGAGAAAAATTTCACTGAAAGTCACATTTGACTTTATCTCTCACTCTCTTTCGTGCCACGTGAAATATTCATTGTTTGAGAACTGTCTCATTGCAGTATTCAATCCATGTACAATAAATCGCGCAAGATTGTGTAGAAAAACCTCATGATAATCAAGTGAAAGACTCATTCAAGTTGGCAAACAATAAACCTTGAAATTGTACTCAAGAATTATGTGACACCCGTTGAAAAACTTATCCATCATCTCGCGAAACTAGTGCACTAATTTCACCGACGGGATTGAAAATGCTTAAACTCACATCAAAGTGGAACATATGCGATTCTGATTACATTGTGAGTAATCATACCGAAAGGTCATCTCTCACTCCCGCGAGAGATGTGAGTGTGTAAAAAATTTCAAATATACCTAATCTCTCGCAATATATAATTTGCGATGATGAAAAGTGAAAATGATCATCAATTGTCTGGAAATTAGTGAATTTCTGCAATAAATTCCCCTCAATACCAGCCACATTAAGTGATGTTGCGTGCCGAAAGATTCAATTATTGAAAAACACTTCAAGAAGTCCCATTTTAAAATCACTTAAATATGCGCCAATTTTGCTAAGAATAATAATTTTTGAGAAAATACTTGCATAGATAATTTGCATTCAATTGCCCTTTATGTAAAAATTGAAAAAGTATTTCTATAATGTGCATGACTGCAAATTTAGTCACAGTCAAGCGTTTTTTTTATTGAAATCTTTAATGGCCTCGTAAAGTGCTAGTCAATTCACAAGTGCCACTCGGAGAACACATTCACTTCAAACGACATTGTAATATGATC